TTTTACCCTTTTTGTTAGTGTGGTGTATCACGTTGATTTATTTGTGGATGTTGAACTATCTTTGCATTCTTGGAATAAGTTCTACCTGATTGTGGTGTATGATCCTTTTAACGTACGGTTGAGTTCAATTTGCTCATATTTTGTTGAGGATTTTTGCATCAGTCTTCCTCAAGGATATTGGCCTTTGATTTTCTTTTTTATGGTCACTTTGTCTGGTTTTGGTATCTGGGTAATGCTGGCCTCCTAGGATGAGTCTGGAAGCATTCCTTCTTCTTCAGTCTTTTGGGAGAGTTTGAGAAGGATAGGTATTAACTCTAGTTTAAATGTTTTATGGTAGAATTTACCTATGAGGCTGGTCTAGGACTTTTGTTTGTTGGGAGGTTTTTTTTTTTATTATTACTGATTGAATTTCATTACTATAGTGATCAGTCTGTTCAGATTTTCTCTATCTTCTGGACTTAGTCTTGAAAGATTGTATGTTTGTAGGAATTTACTCATTTCTTCTAGGTTATCCCATTTGTTGGCATGTGATTATTTGTAGTACTGTCTTACGATCCTTTGTATTTCTGTGGTATTGGTTGTAATTTCTCCTCTTCCATTTCTGATTTTATTTATTTGGGCCCTCTCTTTTTTTTCTTGATGAGTCTGGCTAAAGGTTTAGCAATTTTGTTTATCTTTTCAAAGAACTAGCTCTTAGTTTCATTGATTTTTTTTGGTCTCTATTTCACTTATTTCCCCTCTGATCTTTTATTATTTACTTCCTTCTACTAACTTTGGGTTTTACTTGTTCTTTTCTTGTTCCTTTAGGTATAAGGTTAGATTGTTTGAGATTTTTTTCTTGTTTCTTGAGGTGGGACTCTATCGCCATAAACTTCCCTCTTAGAAGTATTTTTGCTATGTCCCATAGATTTTGAACAGTTGGGTTCCCACTTTTATTTGTCTCAATGTATTTTTTTATTTATTCTTTCTCTGTTGACCCATTGTTTATTATTAGCATGTTGTTTAGCCTCCACATGCTTGTGGTTTTTCCAGCTTTCTTCTTGGGATTGATTTTATTTTCATACCACTGGGGTAGCAAAAGATGCTTGATATGATTTCAGTCTTCTTAAATTTATTAAGACTTGTTTTGTGACCTAACATGTAACCTTTCCTGGAGCATGTTCCATGTGCACTTGAGAAGAATATGTATTCTGCTTTTGGATGGAATGTTCTGTATATGTCTGTTAAGTCCATCAGGTCTAATGTGTCATTTAAGGCCAGTGTTTCCTCATTGATTTTCTGTCTGGGTGATCTATCCATTGAAGTAAGTGGGGTGCTGAAGCCCCTACTATTATTGTATTACTGTCATTTTCTTCCTTTATGTCTCAGTTTACTTTTTTTTTTCTTCTTCACCAAATCTACTAAATGTTACCCATGAGTTATCCTGGATAATAGCAGGTATCCATTGATATTCCTTTAAACACACAAGCAGTAAAAAGCCCTCCCAGAAATAATTTTTAGTACTTAACTAGTCATTATATTCCTTCAGAAGACAGTATAAACTCCCTGTTAGAATTACCATTTTTTTTAATTCTTTCAACTTAAAGTATAATTTGCCTTGTATGAAAATGTTGTTTGTATCTGATTACTGGAAGAATGGGGATGTAATGTTCTCATAAACTTTTTTCTTAAACACTTGGCTATGTAAAAAGTAAAATACAGTACTATCTAAAGATATGTCTATATACACATGTATATAAAAAATACATACATGTATTAGTTTGTTTCACCAAGTGATTAGAGGTATGTAGTTCAATTTAAAATACTTTTGGTGGGTGCCTGGGTGGCTCAGTCGTTAAGCGGCTGCCTTCGGCTCAGGTCATGATTCCGCATCGGGCTCCCTGCTTGGCGGGAGGCCTGCTTCTCCCTCTCGCACTCCCACTGCTTGTATTCCCTCTCTCGCTGTGTTTCTCTCTGTCAAATAAATAAATAAAATCTTTTAAAAAAATAAAAAAATAATAATAAAAAAATAAAATACTTTTGGTATATGGTTGACAAAATGACAGAGCATTTTGATTACTTGGAACTATAGTTTTACATCACTAAAATATTTCTCTTCTTATTTAGTATGACATAATAGGCCGCAGTTTATTATCCAGACTATCTTTCTGACTCTTTCAGGGTGGGGGGGGCGGAAACGGGACCAAATAGTCAAGTCTCATTATCTACTGACAGTGATAGGAAGCACATGGATAATTAAACCCATTGTCAGATATAGTCTAAGAACTACTGTAGCCATGATTTTCTACATCTTCCTCCTGAAAGCTTGTTGTTAGAGTTGCGACTGATAGCTGAGATGGCACTGGTTTGAATTTCATTTTTATTTTCTCTTCTTCCCTTAACAAACATACTAATGAACCATGAGTTGAGTCAGAGGTCCAGAGTGTTCATAGAGCTAGACAATCCAAGCCCAAGCACCCCTGAAATACTAATAATTGGACTCTCATTAAACTTAATGCACTTCTTACATCCTTGTTGGGTCTAGACTGCCACTGATTTGTGTCCAGACATGAAACTGAAGAGAAGTTGTTTGAAAATATGCTTCCTTAGTGAACAGAACCTTCCATACATTTTCTGAAGAGTAAACAATGAAGCTAGAGAGTTGATTGTGGTTTGATAAAGCAGATTTGTGACTTTCTAGTTAAATTCTCAAAAAAGGCTAAGAGTATGTTTTCCTCCTAAAAACATCATGGTCCAAGGAAGGATATTGATCACACCCATTCCTGATATTTGTGGGACCTAAAGCAGGAGTAAAAATGGAGGCCTTGGGTCATATATCTAAATTTAAAGTCATAAATAAAGTTACCACACTACTAAGTAAATGCAATCTGTACTCCTTTCTTGATAATATACCTTAAGTAATGTCCTGGAAGGCGAGATTTAGATTTAGAATTCTTGGGCTCTCTGGGGTTCCATGTCAGAACATGACAATGTGGGGAGTTGGCTCTTAGCCAGCCCCCCTTTCCTTTTTGTCCTACATATCTATCTGAGTTCCATCATTACCCTCCTTAAACAACTGCCCTTGGCCACCCCTTGGGTAAACATAGATTCTCAAATTCTAAGAATAATCTCTGTACACGTAGATACGGAATACTTAAAGCCACTCCTGTATTCTCCCGTATTCTCGTGGTCTTCCCTAAGTCACTGTGGGTTGAATGAGAAATGATAATGATAATAGCTATCAGTGATTATACCTGCCAGACATTGGCATAAGTTCTTTGCATATTTTATCTCAGGTATCAGCATTTCCCCTTCTTGGGGCTAAGTATTTCAGTAAAGCAAGACACTAAATATATATACACATTTCTCGCTATATATATACATATACACATACACAACACTCAGGTGCGGATGTGCACACACGTTATTTTAGTTGTTGTTATTTTAAGAAGTATGTTTTCAAAGTCACCTTCCTTCCTTTTCCTCAGTGCAACCTTTTAGAAAACACTAACTTGAAACAAAGCAAAATCCAGGAACCAAGAACCCAGCTTAGCTGTGACCTCAGGTGTACGAACAGCAAGCCAGTTGTTCACAAACTGATTCAGTCTTCAGCCCCTCCTAACGTTTGGATTGGGGGGAAAGTAATAAACTTGCCTTGCTTTTCCATAGGGTAAACTGAGGCCTGTCTTCTCCCTTTAACTGCTGGGAGGAAATACAGCACTGCTAGGTAATGCTGATTTGAACCTTTGGGGGTTCAATGATGTGTGTCAGTTAGCCTACTACTTTTTTATCCTTCCTAAAGGATGAGGCTTTAAGGCAGATATGCTGCTTGATTCATTTTAAAGCTTAACTACCTATGTAGGTGTTACAGGAGCAAAGAAAATGTGTGGAATTTGATCCTCTGTACCTTGGCTTCTTGAAAAGGGAGGTGCCATATCTGAACATAGCCCCATTGACTCTCCTGGAGTTAGCTGGAGATACTTTGTTTTGAAAATGTTGGCTTTGTGAGTAGAAATGGAAACCATTAAAACAGATAAGACAAAGAGAAAAGGAGCCATAGAAACAGAAAGAGAATTAGGAAAATGTTGGAAATGACTTCAAGCAATTACATACGTGAATCCATGTCTCTTTTCAACCTTTGTCCACTTCTTCAGCTCATGGTGCCCGTTGGATGTCCCGTGAGCACAACAGTGTGGTTAGAGCAGGAAGCCCATTCTTGGCCTTCTCTCCTCATTAACTTTCATTTGCCAGAGATACCTTGAATAAAACAGACAGGTTGACCAATCTTCAGGAACTACTTTAAGTGTTCCCTCAGTTTACAAAGTCAACCCAAAGCAGGTTGGTGTGGGCCAGATTCCTGTTGTAGTCTGCCGCACTGTCGTGCAGACGTGCCCGGTATCCCTCAGCACCCACGGCTCCCGTGAAGGTTCCCCCGTCACATCTGAGGCGAAAGGAAGGAGTGTGGTTAAGTCTCCGCTTTGAAGCTGTCATGTTAATTGTGAACTTTTGCTGAGTCTGTACGTTAGAAAAGGTAACCATCTCAGCATGTTAAGATCGTAACTGCTAGATTAATGCTCGGAGGCAGCAGCTGTGCTGACGGGAGGCATTCATGGCCGGATGAGTTCAATCACATATGCTGCGTCCAGTGTCTTTGAGTAATGGTATTTGCTAGATTCCAAATGGACTGCTGAGAAACATGAAATGCAATCTCCTATATTATCTCTATCTTGAGAAAAAAAATAGGTAATGAAATTGTTCTCTTGCTGGCTTCTATTTTATTAACCTTTGTGGAGTCAACGTAAAGAACAGATGTCCCTATAGAGTTGAAACCTTTAGCTAAAGTGGAGTGTCATTAAGCGCGTCTGTGAGTTCTAGCAACAGTGGGGTTGAATGGAGCAGGTAAGTATTTTTTTAAAACCAGTCAGAGAATAATAGGGCATATTCTGGGGCTAGCCAGAGAGAAGAAACTGCAGTGTGCATTGTATACAACTAAATTCATTCTTTCTTTTTCTTCCTTACAGAGCGTGGAGAAAGTTCTTGTGGAATTCAGTCACAAGGAATTGTTTGATTTCTATAACAAGGTCTATATTTTTAAAATAATTTCTGCTATGTGGGGTTTTACATAATGTTGCCTTCTTTTTATGAATTCTTATTTTTAAGTGACCTGTTATGGAGCTAAGTTCTTTAAACATCCCTTGTAAACACCGTATGTTTCACGGCGGGAAGCATTGCCAAGCCGAAGAGAATCTGACAAACTAAATCAGGAAGAAAGTGGAAATGGTTTTAATTAAAGCTATGGGATTGTTACTTTAGAGCAAAGCATTCAGTAATGAACTATGTGGTACCAAGCCACACTGGCACTTTAGGTATATTTAACATTAAATATTTTAATTTCTGGGCCCAAGAGGAAAGGGAGGTGCCAGGCCTGTAAAGATTTATCTTTGAGTGTTTGTCATGTTTCTTTCCAAATCCTGACTTTGTGAGCCAGGAAGATGCACTCCCCCACCCCCCAACTTCAAAAGTCTTGTGTAGTGATCATTTAAATTAAAACAGCTGAGTGTACTTAAAATAGTAGAATTTAGAAATCCTCCTTGGCACATTGGAAAACTTAGATCACAGCCATGAATTCTAATACCTTCATATGAAAAGAAAACTTTCCTACGTGGTGAATCTGTTGCTGTGTGAATGGATTTAATATGCATGGTTGCCGCTGCCAATCTGTCCCTCCCCTGGGCAAGTTTCTGAGCAGCCCTTCATATGCATTTCTCGCCTTTCAGCAACTTTTCTCTTGTTTTGTCTTTATGAATAGCTGGAGACCATACAAGCGCAGCTGGATTCCCTCACATGATGTTCCTGAAGACTGGCTTCTCCATCACACTCCTGCCACCTCATCATTCTGCACTGACGATGGGCCGCCAGGTTATGTTTTCCGAAGGATTCAGTAGCTTTCTTCTTGTAAACGACGGGGCTTACCGCTTCTTAGAGAAATAACAGCCAAGGGAGATCATTGTTTCGAGAGCTTCTAATACCCATTCTCTCCTTCTGTGAGCCAACGGCAAACAATTGTAAAGAATGCTTTCGCTTAAAAGGAAACAGTAAATACCATATTGTTATTATTGTCTTGTTTTTGCTTTATTGCCTGACCTGTTCATTTTTTACGTATTTGATGACACCTTTATGTATCAAGGAGGCTCCCTGGATACAAGGGATAATGTGTACCTTAGAATACAAAACTCCGGTAATTACCTTATTAAAGCAAGAAAGCAACCAAATGGCAATCAGATACTCTATTTTTCCTTGAGTATAATGATGTTTCGCTTGGGAAATAACATAGGAAAGAAATTTAAAAGAGAGATGGTAGTAGTGTATCAGTTAATTCCAGTGTGAGCTTCTCAGTGCACTTTAATTTTTTTGTCTGAGTGTAATGATCTAATAATAGTCCAGGTTTCTGTGTGCTTTTCTTTGTGCTGCAAATTAATAATGATTCACTTCATAGTAAGAGAGAGATTCAGATCATAAATAAAAATAATTGTCCTGAGTGCTAAGTCATTATCCTTAAAATTTCAAAACAGATACCTTTTACATTTTCTTTCTATAAATATGTTAATTAATTGTAGTCAATAAAATGTTTATGTTTTAGAATTAGGTGAACTGAAGTACACAGTATTTTATGCTGTGACTATATATAAACGTGAGTATGGTTGCCTATAAAAAAATATTACCAGTTGGATTTTTATGAATGAAATATTTGTTCTCTATAGTTTCCACAGAGAGAAACAGAGCCGGTAGGAGTGGGGAGTTGGGAGGGGAGAAATTGAGGGTGACATAGACATTGATTTGAGTCAAATGTGACTTTATTCATATGGAGGAATTTGATCTCAGAAAGGTCCTATGGTTAAACAAACAGCCATTGAAATTAAATCACAGTCCTTTTATGAGGTATCTGCTTTGAAGGTCTCTCAAATAAATGTTCAGTGTATGGAGTTTATGCCCTTGTTTGTATGTGTGCTCTATGTTGTTGCTTAGAACGATTGGGAGTTTGGATGATTTCAGAAAGTAGTATTATAGTTGCTGTCCATAGTTGATTAATTTGAAAAGTTTTGTTAACTTAAAACTTCCATTGATAAGATATCTGGAAGACGTGTTTCTAATACAACAGGTTTATTTCCATATGTAGCTTATGGGAGCTGTCTTATTTTGTTACACTCTGTTCTGCCAGTTCCAGAGGGAAAAACCTGACTACTTACACATTTTGGTAACTATTCCTTCAGACTTCTTATATACAAAAACACATACATCATCTCAAGTTGAATTTGTTAGGGCCTCCTGACAGTGACCATATGGACAGGTAGAAGTTTTCATTGGTTTAATGGCCAATTTAACTCCCAGTGTAGGTATCTAAATTAAACGTGACAGTCCAAAATGAAATTCTCATTAGTAGCTCATTTTATGCTCCCTAAAAGACCTGGTTTTATACTCTCTAGGAGTATTATCTAGAACTGTGCAAAAATGCGGTAAATAGTTTCCTCTCGATGAGTCTAGTTCAAGAAAGTCTGACCAAAGGCATTGAAGAAAGGACAAGTAGAAGGTCTAATTCCAACTGAGAAACATAACTATTCCCCAAATATATTTAATTGCAGATCATGTCATTCTTTAAGGTGCCAGCATTGCTATGATACACAGATCAAAGAAAATACCATTCCCAAACAGTACTGAATACCTGTGACTTTTTCATAGATATAATGGAGTTGGAGGGTCAAGTGCTGGAACCCCCTCTCTTAGCACTCTTACATGAGTGCCTGACAAGAGGACTGAACACAAATAGACTTACTTGCTAGAAAGGAACCAATGTACTATTTTTACACCTACTACAGATAATACCTGCAATGCTCCAGTAGTAATTTGTGATTCTTTTTAATGATGAAAAACCAAAAATCATAAAGAAATAACTTAAAAGTATAGACTCTTAACATCCAAAATGGCCATTTAATGACATTTTGGTAGATTTTACTGTAGTGGGGTTTTTTCTACCCATATGTCTTTCTTGTTCTTTTTTCTTCCTTTCCTAACACGTTGGAATAATGCCATAAATACAGTTTAATACTTTGCTTTGCTTGTGTAACATTATACATGAGCATTTTTCCTGTCCTTATTATCTAAAACAATTTTAATGTAGTTACCCAATCTGTTGTTGGACGTTTAGACTATTTCCATTTTTTTAACATACTATAGAACTTATTGATGGCATATCTTTATATCTATAACCCCTGGACCACATCTGTCATTATTTTATTAGTATAGATTACTAGAGGTGGGATTACCTAAGAAGTATGAAGATTTATTTCCTATTTTTATCTTTAATGGTATTTTATTATAAAAATCATAGTTGCCCATAGTAAAAAAAAAAAAAAAAAGTTCCTGTTTTGCCAGTCTCACTCCCACTTCCCAGAAGTGCCCACCTAACTACTTGGAAACTTTTGGTCTATGTCTTTTCAGACATCTTAGGCAAATACATACCACACACACACATGCCTTTTTGTGTATGCTTTTATGTTTTTACTTAAACATTTATTTATGTGTTTATTTATTTTTAAGTAGGCTCCATACCCAACATGGAGCCCAACACAGGGCTTGAACTCACGACCCTGAGATCAAGACCTGAGCTGAGATCAAGAGTCTGATGCTCAACTGACTGAGAAACCCAGGCACCCCTACTTACATTTATTTTAAAGTCATTTTGCATATTGTTGAATTCTTTTCCCAAAGGCCCATATCCATTTATACTGTCACCAACAGTGAAGGAGAATTCACCTGCCTCAAGACAACTTCATCACTCTTTTCTACTACTGCACATTTCATTCTCCACATTCTCCTTAACCTGGGACCAGGTTTTGGGAAGAGCATTGGGTGAGAGAGAACTGGACACTGGAACATCACTAATTACTTGGGCTATGTCACGTTGGTAACTCTAGAAGGATCAAAGAGGAGATCTCTTCTGTAATCAGCAAATGTGAGAGGTACTAGCACGGTATTTAAGTGTAAGGACACTGAAGTCAGACATTCATTTCCTCAACAAATATTCAGTGAGTGCCTATGATTCTAGGAATTTCATAGGCTAGCACCGTGTTAACAATGATGAAGAAAATAAATATGGTTCCTGGCTTCTTAAAGCATAATATGTTAAACAGTCAATTTTTTAAAAAGCAAGAAAATGTAATAAATTGTGAACAAGTATGGGATGAAAAATAATTGGCTTCTATTTAGAGAAAAAGATAGGACCAAACTTAGATCGGGGCATCAAGGAAATCAAATCTCTCTGAGGAAGTGAGATTTGAAGTGAGTCCTGTGGGATGAGGTAGAACAAAGCAATTGAAGAAGAGAGTAAATAATAGAAGACTAGAGTGAAAAAGCATTCTGGACAATGAGAATGGCCCATCCAGCATCCCAGAGATTCGAAAAGGCTTAGCATCTTTCAGGAACCAAAGAAGATCCATGTGACCAGAGTGTCGTGGACAAGGAGAGAGTAGAATGCGTTACAGTTATGAGGTAGTCCTGTCACCTCTACCGCCAAAATGGCTTGCAAATGTATCTCCAGGGCACTGCCATTTCCAGGCTATACCACCATCTTTACCTTGGCCTTCCTGCCTCCGCTCTACCCCTCTTCAACCCTCTCTTCACACAGAGCTGATATTTCTGGAACATTAGTCACATTAATTATACCATCTCTCTGCTTAGAACCCTTCAAGGCATCCTATTACACTTGAAATAAAATTTAAGTGTCTGGACCCTTGGGACAGACTAAGAGTCATGTCCTAGTTCCACTACTTTTTGTGGTGCTCAGTTTGCTCAAGCTCAGTTTCTTCATCTTTGTAATGGGAATAAAAATAATCTACATAACATGGGAGTGTTCATGTAGATTAAATGAGAGAATTCATGTTAAACAACATAATTCCTGATTTGCAATAATCACATAATAAATGTTGGCTGTCATTTCATAATCATTAAGAAAATGACCAGGGTTTCTATTGAAATTGTTCCAGGTAGGTTTGAATTTAAGTTGAAATTGCAGAAACCTTGCTACAGAGCCCCTTCCCTTTAAATTTACTTGGAGGTCTAATAAAAACTCTATCCCATGATCACCAGTTTCAAACATGATGCCAGTTTATCTCACTTTTAATTTTTTATTAACATGGTAAGATAATCTATCTATAGATATAAGATATCTATATCTTATGGGATAGGATCAGAATATGAAATTTTTCTTCTAGGACTCTCTTTCTGTATAGCTCTCCTGACTCTGACCCATCTTTTGCTCTAACTCTATTCTTTGAATTTCTGTATCTTACCTTAAACAATGTCTTCTACACCTTATTCATTATTCCAGGGGTCATCAAACTATGTCCAGCCCATCCTTTGTTTTTATCAAGCTTTATTGGAACAAAGCTATGGTAGACAGACTCCCAGTCATCCCTGCCTTTTGGTATTCACATTTCAGTAGAGTCCTCTGCCCTCGACTGTGGGCACCACCTGTTACTTGCTTCTAACCACTCAAATGTGGCAAAGGAAATGGGATGTCACTTCCCTGGTTGTTGCGTTATGTAAAATTCTATTGTGCCACCAAACTTACTCTAGAAATTTTTTTCCCTTCTTGGCTTGGAAGAAGCAAGCGGCCATGTTGTAAGAGGGTCTGTGGGCAGAACCATATGGTAAGGAACTGTGGGTGACCTCTAGGAGCTGAGGGCGACCAGCCAGCAAGAAACCAAGGCCCTATGCTGGCAGCCCCACAGCCATGGGAAATAAATCGACAAACAACACGAGTGAGTTAGGAAGTGGACTCTTTCCCAGTCAGGCCTGCAGATGAGAACGCAGCCCAACTGACTATGATTGCAGCCTTGTGAGATTCCCTGGGAAGGACTCAGACTCCTGACCCACGGTAATGAGATAATAAATGTGTGTTGATGTAAACTTGTAAATGTATAGTAATTTATTTTACTGTAATGGATGTGTAAAACAACAGCCATGCTCTTTTGTTTACATTCAGTCATATAGCCTATGACTCTTTTGCTCGACGACAGCAGACATGAGTAGTTGCCACATAGAGTATGTGACCCAGAGAGCCTAAAATATTTACCATGTGGCTCTTGAGAGGAAAAGTTTGCTGATGCATGCTTAGACCATGCTTCCCTGGGGCCTCCCTGGAGGATAGAGCAGTTGGCAGAGGATACAGAAATCTGTAAGGTGGATGTGGTGTATCTTTCCATAGCAGCACTTTAATTTTTGCCAGCCACATGGCCATCAATTGGAAATTATATTTTCTTTTTTTTTAATATATATTTTATTTATTGACAGAGAGAGGGAGAGAGAAAACAACAGAGCACAAGCAGGGGGAGCGGCAGAAGGAGAGGGAGAAGCAGGCTCCCTGCTTAGCAGGGAGTCTGACATGGGGCTCGATCCCAGGACCCCAGGATCATGACCTGAGCCAAAGGCAGACGCTTAACCGACTGAGCCACCCAGGCACCCCGGGAATTTTATTTTCCATCCTCTGCAGCTCCTGCAGCCACGTGACTAGGTCTTGCCAGTGAAATGTGAGTGGAAATGACATTCCTCTTTAGTTTTCTTTCCCCTTTCTAGGACTAAAACATAGATCTGGAGCTGGGTCATCTTTGAGCAGACAAGGATAATGCCATAAGGGGTAGGGAGCAACAAGATGGCAGGAAGCTGGGTCCCCGGGGTAGGGAGCGACAAGATGGCAGGAAGCTGGGTCCCCGGGGTAGAGAGCAACAAGATGGCAGGAAGCTGGGTCCCCGGGGTAGAGAGCAACAAGATGGCAGGAAGCTGGGTCCCTGGGGTAGGGAGCAACAAGATGGCAGGAAGCTGGGTCCCCGAATGTCCTATGGAGCAGGGCTGCTATTAGGCGCTTGACAAGCTGCCATCTCTACACCATCACCTGAGGAATTCATTGTCTCCTATGAGGAGCTCTACTTGGGA